ACGGCCGAAAACGTTAGAATATTAAAATCTTTTGACTGCTGGAAGTAGTATTGAGGTGTTAAGTGTTGTGTGTAATTTAATATTAGTACCCACTCAAAAAATCATCTAAAGCAGTAATATTTCTTTATTCTAACATTTTTGATTGTGTTTTCAATGATCAAAAACATTAGAATAAAGAAATATTACTGCATTAAATGGTGTTTAGAGTGGGTATTTGTACAATTGCAGTTTGTAAAAGATTAATAATTTAATATTGGTTTTAAAAGTTTTATTTAGAATATACTGTATTTTAAAATAAAAATGTAGAAGTTAGAATGTAATTTTGAAAATTATCTGCAACTGTCAGCAAAGGAAGTTTGTATTCATTTTTCTGAATGTTAAAATTACAAAAAAATAGTGTGATTTACAAATGTGGAGACCTTATGTGGAAACGCATAAAGTCACGGGGAATACATGCGCATAAGGTCTTGTTATTTAAAATCTTTTACCATTCAATTTTATGTTCAAATTTTAAGATGAAGCTTGTTTTGAATTGAAAAAAGCCCGAAGAAGAGCCCAGAAGGGGTTACAAAGACGTTCGTTATTCAAGTGTTAATCGTAATTCACAACAGTTAATGGTTGATGTGAGTCTTATTTTATATTCATCCTGGTGTGCTGTGCAGTTATGTAGTATGATTACAATTTATAATTTTCAATCCAATTTTAAAATAATTTAAAATAACTTATTTATTGTTTTTCACATTATAAGAATATATTATCTAAATATATAAAATTGCTTGTCCTGATTGACTGACTGAATGAATGAATGACTCACTGACTGATTCATCATCGCCCAGAGCAAACCGCTTAACCTAAAGAGGTGAAATTTGGTACACAGTTAGGGTACATCATGGAAATGCACACTAAGAAGGGATTTTTTGAAATTCCCCTGCGAGGGGAGAGGGAAAGGATTAAGGCTTAACCTGAAAACCTGAAGAACGGCTTCTACTGTACTATTTTACATGCGATTTTTTGTTACGTTTAGTCTTCATTAAGTACTTAAGTGTATTAAATTAATAACCTTTCAGACATTGTTATAAATATTTTTGTATATTTCGATTTTTTAACCAAATGTTCGAACCTTTTTAAATTCGAATTTGTTATTGCATATTGGTTCGATTATAGAACGATTGTAAACGTTCCAGAAAATTGATCAAATTGAAAATAGTTCGTTTGATTCTCAGCAATTCTCATCATTCTTGGCGGTAGGTGTTATATAACAATCACTATGGTTGTTGAAATACTGAATATAAATGGGGTTTGCTTGCAAAACCTCCGCGGGCAAAGTCGCGGATAACAGCTAGTTATATATATAAAAGCTAAAGTTAACTCACTGGATATATTCATGTTAATTTTAAAAAGTTGCATACATAGTTAGTCTGTAACTTTAGCAAGAAAAAGTCAGTGAATAGCACTTGTATATTATTTACAATTTTCCTTTACAAGTAAATTTCAGTCAATTTTTTAAATAAATGGTTATAATGTATAGAGTGATTTAAAAAGGACTTTACAACTATGAAAGCATATAGAATTTTATTGGAAGACTTAAATAATCAGTTGAAGTATTAATTAATAGCAAAGCACATTCAAACAGTCATTTTGATATGATGTGCCATTGGTGATATGGCACACACAGTTTGAATTAGATGTTTTGCCAAACTGAAACCTTATCTGTTGTCACTTCAGTAATTGTGACAGTAGTCTGCACTTCTGCATTTTGTGATATTTGCAGGCAAGGATATAAAAAATACTAGAATTTTAATTAAACCACAGAAGAAAAATCAAAAAATATCAAATCTGGGAAATGAGGTGACTGTGCTATTGGCCTTACTCAGCCTATCCATTAATATGAGAAATGTTTATTGAGGAAATTCAGGACATATGGTAATGGAATGGTGTATTGTCTTGCTGAAAGAGCATGTATTCTTCTCTGAGAAAATAATCCAGCATATCCAGATACAGTGGATTGTTAGAAAAACAGTGTTGTGGTAAAATGATTTTATGGTCATGCATTATCCTAGTGTTTCTTAAACTTCACTTTCTGACAGATCCTTTCAATAAAAAAAAACTTCACAATTCCCTAGAGTAGAATTAAATTATTATTTTTATGTATGTTTTAAAAATGTCTTTAAAAATTTTAATATAAATTATTTTATATTTTTTAATTTGAAGTTTAATAGGTATTTTTATAAAAGATGAATATTTTCTATTCCTTCACACATCGGATCAATGTAAAACAATCTCTCAACAAACCTTTAACCTTACGGTTAAAGGTTTGTTGAGAGATTGTTTTACAGATTGTTGAAAGCATATAGAATTTTATTGGAAGACTTAAATAATCAGTTGAAGTATTAATTAATAGCAAAGCACATTCAAACAGTCATTTTGATATGATGTGCCATTGGTGATATGGCACACACAGTTTGAATTAGATGTTTTGCCAAACTGAAACCTTATCTGTTGTCACTTCAGTAATTGTGACAGTAGTCTGCACTTCTGCATTTTGTGATATTTGCAGGCAAGGATATAAAAAATACTAGAATTTTAATTAAACCACAGAAGAAAAATCAAAAAATATCAAATCTGGGAAATGAGGTGACTGTGCTATTGGCCTTACTCAGCCTATCCATTAATATGAGAAATGTTTATTGAGGAAATTCAGGACATATGGTAATGGAATGGTGTATTGTCTTGCTGAAAGAGCATGTATTCTTCTCTGAGAAAATAATCCAGCATATCCAGATACAGTGGATTGTTAGAAAAACAGTGTTGTGGTAAAATGATTTTATGGTCATGCATTATCCTAGTGTTTCTTAAACTTCACTTTCTGACAGATCCTTTCAATAAAAAAAAACTTCACAATTCCCTAGAGTAGAATTAAATTATTATTTTTATGTATGTTTTAAAAATGTCTTTAAAAATTTTAATATAAATTATTTTATATTTTTNCAACTACATGTAAAATTTATTCATTTACAAAAAATAATTTTATTTATAAATATTTCATTTTTAAAAGTATATGACTATTACAGATTTAGACAGACTATTAATGTCTTTTACTTGCAGTTATGTCATATTAGTTTCTCTGAGTGCATAGGGCATGAAGTAATGTTATAAATTTATAGGCATATGATTTTTTTTCTTCTTATGCTAATGGAAATGTATATTGATTTATTTAGAAACTGCCTTTTTGGCAATCAGCCAAAGATATTATTCCTAAAAAATAATCTCTGTTTAAATAACGCAATTTTTTACATGTATGTCTGTAATGTTAGATTTTATTATTATAGTGTTTAATCTAATTTTTTTTTTCTAAATATTCTATAATTGCTGTTATTGGAGTTAATCTTCATATCATTATATATATTTTTATTGTATTTTGATGGAATAATTATGAATTTTAAAAATTTATTTTTGATTTTATATTGATAAATATGTAAAATACTAACTTTATATAAGCTATACAAGTTAGTATTTTATATGTAGTACGATCCAAAAGTTCGGGGACATGGCTTAAAATTCTTTACCTTAAAAAGTTTATATTGCCGATGCACAACCACCTTCAAACTAATCACCTTGGGCAACGATACAGTTTTGCAAGCGCTCGTATAACTTCTGGAAGCACTGCTGGAAGCCATTTTTTGAAACCTCCCGTAAGGCCTCCTGCGATGCTGCTCTCACCTCATCTGATGACACAAAACGCCATCCCTGCAAATGCTTTTTCATTGATGGAAACAAATAAAAATCACACGGAGCTAAGACCAGTGAATAGGCATGGTGTGAAAGCACATTAATTTGAGATTTGGCGAGAAACTGTGTGACCATTTGGGACCGATTGCAGGTGCGTTGTCATGCAGAAGGTACCAGTTTCCACTTCGCCAGATCTGTGGCCGTTTACAACGAATGGATTCCCTCAAACGACGTAAAATGTCTAGATAATTGAGAGACCAACTCAACATTTTTCTCGTTCCGTGAAGTCGAAGGTCGGCCAGAGCGTTCATCATCTGTGATAGATTCTCGGCCCTCTTTAAATCTTTGATTACACTATGGTAGAATCACCGTACACCTTTCTTAGCAATTTTAAAGTCTTCATAGATGTTTTACCTAAACACTGACAAAATTTAATGTTGCAGCGCTGTTCTTGAAACTCCATTTTTATTACGTCGCCAAACAAAGGTAACTATCTCCGACAAAAAGCAACAGCACTTGCGGTTTAATCACGTGGCATGGGCGAAATCAACCTGAACACGTAGGGGTAGTTTGATAGAATCCATTTCATACGCTGTAACTTTAAATACATGCTTTTGTTGTCATACATTACTGCAGTCCCCGAACTTTTGGATCGTATCACGTATATTTATTTGCTATATAATCAAGTAAATTAAAATTACTAATGGAAAACTTTCAAAAATGTTTTTTGGCCATTTAAAACATGAATATCATGTAGATTTACCTAAATTAGATAATCTATACTAATATAATAAAGAGGTAATGTTTGTATGTATGTTAGTTTGGATGTAGCGGGTAATCTCCAAAACTACTCATCCGATTTCAAAAATTTTTTCACCAATATTTAGAATGGAACTTCAGGATGGACATAGGCTGTATATTATTCCGTTAAACATGGGGGATGGACAGTTCTTTACGGTAAGCCTTNGGTTAACTAAAGAATTTCTGATGCTATGTGAATCTTTAGGCATGATAAGCATATAAAATTCAAGGACCATCTTTATCATTTATTAATTAGAACTTATCATTCAAATTTCTAAAACAAAATTTTGAACATTCTAAATGAAATTGATATTATAAGACTTACGGTAGTTTAAATAATTTATAATAAAAAGTTAAATTTTATTGGTATCAATGTAAATTAAGAGTACAATAAGTAAAATGCTCGATATATTGTTATTACTATTTTGATTAAATAATTTATAATTTATAAAATTATTTATTATTTCTAGATGGAAATTTATATATTCATTGCCAGATAAAGAGAAAACAAAAAATGATCCGTGTGATGCCAGAACTGTAATAGCTGCTTTAAAAGAAACAAGGTATTGCTATATAAATTCTGTTTGTTTTATTTTATTAATTATTTGCACCGGTACTTATAACAAAGAGAAAGATTAATTTTTATTTTATTTTTTTTTTGGTATAATGAATGAAGTTTTACAAAACGTTCATTTCATTTTAACTTATAGATAACAGAAGTATTGTAGATAATATATAACTTTTTCTAACTCAAATTATAATTTATCTGGTAAATTAATATATTTATTAGAAAAATTTTATGATGTAGTAATTTAAATTATCTGATTTATGTTCTTTCTTTCTCACTTGATGTTGAATTTTGGTCAGGTGAATGTATGGTATTTGTTTCGGGCTTTGGAAGTTTTCAGGAGCCTTTTTTGGTAATACACAGTGCCTTGTCAAAGATTTGTCAAACAGTTTTATTCACTAAGTAAATAGACTGGCATTAATATTAATACCAGTAAATAGAGTAAATAGACTGGTTGTGCTACTACACAATTTTACAATCTGGCAAAGATCTCAAAATTTGTGAAATGAGCTGTAACTTAACAGGTTCAAATTAATAGTTTAAGATTCAATCAGCAAAATGAGATAAGACCTACTGTATATGCTTTCACCCATATGTAGCAATCATTCTCAAGTAACCTTACATAGATGTTAAAAAATGCAGAAAGGGGAATAAAATTCAAAACGTAAAATGTAACATATGTTAGAACAGAGAGACTTAAAAGTGCATTTCAAAATTCAAATAGAAAAATAATTCAAAATAAAAATGCTGATTCAAAAATTTTGTAACTGTTTAGATAAAGTGACTAAAAATTTAATCTTTTCAATGTATTTTTAAATTTTAAATTTTGTTACTAGTTTCAGACAGACTGAAATATTTTCATTAGCTTATAATATTATATTAGATTGATGCCGTCTGAATTTTTAGAAAAAAAAAGAAGAAATCTGTTAATTATGTTGTCTCATAACTGGAAAGTTTTAAGTGATTCATATAAAAGAACATAAGAGAGAATTTTTCCATTTAATGGAAAAGCAACTACAACTAGTACTCATAGTAAATATGTCGTATAACTGTATGATTGGCTGCATTGTTACTGTAATATAATGTTGCTGATGTATTGCTTTTTTGAATGTTATTGTCATACTTTGTAATGAGTATGAAATATCATAAATGTGAGTTTTTTCTATTTATCAAAAGATACAGACGGTTCTTATCAGGCTGTAATATTTAATTAATTAATATGTTAAGTAATTTGGCTAAAGATTGGTATTTGATTAATAACATTTATTGTGTTGATTGTAAACATGTTTTTTTATTTAAGGGAAAAAATATATGATCTTCTTTCTTTCTCTTCTCTTCCATGCTTTTTTTTTATGATTGACGATCTAGATCATATTGTCTTTTACCAAAAGAGCATTTTTAACTGGTTTTAATATTTTGTAATAAATTATTGTTAGGAAACTGCAGTGGAATCTCATAATGAACTTTAGAGCCCCAAAAAATGTAATGAAAAATGTACAGTATATTCATTATTATCAAGCAAATTAAATATCTAAATTGAGGTCCACATATGAAACAAATGTTATACACACACACAAGCAAGAACCTTTAAAGTCCAGTAACGCAAAAATTTTAATGAAAATGAACGTTTTTTACTGTACCCACAATCTGCAACAGGTTTTTAACTAGCAAAATTCCAAAATAGAATGCGTAGAACAAACATATTTGAAAATTATTTTTAAAAATTTGGAACAATACCAAACATATATAAAACCATTTGAATGGTAGACATTACAAAAATCATAAAAATATAACTACCCCATATACAATAATTTTTAAAGTGTAAACAATGTTATATATGTTACTTATATACCATTGGATACAGTTATTTACTAATTGGAAGATAATAGAGAAAGAGGAAAGAAGTAATGAAATTATTATAGTGAAGTGAAAATTGCAGAAATTCTATTACCTTGAAATTGACAGTAAAAGAACATTAAACTGGACAATAGATAATACTGTAAATGTGAAAATTTGTTATAAATATGTTTTGTAGAACTGAAAAATTTTGTTATGGGATTCTGTGGAGGTTAGGTTGGGGAAAATCTAAAAGTTTATTACATGGTTGTTATATTGTGATTACATTGTATTACTTTGAATTAGCAAACAGTAAAGAAGATCCTGCAGTTTGGATTCTTATATTCTTATCATGCCTGAATATTGACAACAGTATCAGAAATATTTTACTCAGTGGCGTAGCGTAGGGGGGGTGGCAGGGGCAGCCCGCCCCGGGCGGCACTTTTAGGGGGCGGCAAAATTTCGTAATAAATAATAATAATATCTTGTAAAAATTTGAACCATTTCATTTCATATTTTTGTGGCACTTATGATTCGGACTGATTGAAATGAGCACGGAATTTTTCATGACTTATTCTGTGACGAAACTGAATTTTAGTCTTTTAAATTGAGATATCTAAATAAGGGGGCGGCGAAATTTTCCTCCGTCTCGGGCAGTTGATACCCACACTACGCCACTGATTTTACTTAACATTTTATAACACATTGAGATGAACAGATTAATGTGTCATTTAATGTATGTCTGTTCATCTAAGGAGGGCCTAAATTTGTGTAAAAAACAAGGCTGAAACATGTTAGGAAGGTTAACTAAAGAATTTCTGATGCTATGTGAATCTTTAGGCATGATAAGCATATAAAATTCAAGGACCATCTTTATCATTTATTAATTAGAACTTATCATTCAAATTTCTAAAACAAAATTTTGAACATTCTAAATGAAATTGATATTATAAGACTTACGGTAGTTTAAATAATTTATAATAAANGACCATCTTTATCATTTATTAATTAGAACTTATCGTTCAAATTTCTAAAACAAAATTTTGAACATTCTAAATGAAATTGATATTATAAGACTTACGGTAGTTTAAATAATTTATAATAAAAAGTTAAATTTTATTGGTATCAATGTAAATTAAGAGTACAATAAGTAAAATGCTCGATATATTGTTATTACTATTTTGATTAAATAATTTATAATTTATAAAATTATTTATTATTTCTAGATGGAAATTTATATATTCATTGCCAGATAAAGAGAAAACAAAAAATGATCCGTGTGATGCCAGAACTGTAATAGCTGCTTTAAAAGAAACAAGGTATTGCTATATAAATTCTGTTTGTTTTATTTTATTAATTATTTGCACCGGTACTTATAACAAAGAGAAAGATTAATTTTTATTTTATTTTTTTTTTGGTATAATGAATGAAGTTTTACAAAACGTTCATTTCATTTTAACTTATAGATAACAGAAGTATTGNAGAGAAAGATTAATTTTTATTTTATTTTTTTTTTTGGTATAATGAATGAAGTTTTACAAAACGTTCATTTCATTTTAACTTATAGATAACAGAAGTATTGTAGATAATAATGTAAGAATTATACAAGAAATCCTTGTTAATTTTAACTCAGATACTTCAAAATCCTGTTAGTTTGTAACTGTACTATTGTCCTGGCCAGGGATATAGAAATTACATGTTAAGGAATTCCAGTTAGTTGGAAATATAGCTACTTTGAAATTTGAAGTGAAAATTCTATATCTGAACTGATATGCATATGTTAACTCATTCATTTAGATTGTAGTGCCTCCATACTGTAAGAGAACAATAGACTAAGCACAACTCTAATCTGGTCAACATGGCTTTGCTTTTACAGTAACAACATTTTTGGGTGTCACCTAACCCATGGAATACTCTTTTTTTCTCTTATTTCCTAAAATATGGCTGGGTTTTAGGATTGCAAGATTGAGCTGAGTAGCAGATTGAGATATTTATAGTGTTCTAGGCTACTAGATTTGGACAACCTACTACCTTTTGGGCCACTTTAAAAATAATTTGGACTACATTTCAAGGCATTCTGCTTTACTTTTTATAAAACCTATTTGACAACCTGTGAGGTTGTCACCAGAGACATGCTGCTTACCTGCAGTTTATTTATACTATTATTAAAAATAATACCTCATCAAACCTTTAACCGGTATTAAATTTGATTAAGATTAGATGCAAACGTTTTCGCATCCTTCCCTGGGTCCTTTCTCAAGCGCAGATTCTTCTTTAAAATTTGTTAAAAAGACCAGTAGAACGAACTTCTTTTGAATGCGACGTTCGAAAAAATATAAATCCTTCAGAACAACATTTCAAAAGTCAAACTAACGTGAATCACGTGCATTCCAGTATTCCGTAAACAACATTCGTTACGTAATGCCTGGTATTCTTAAAATGGTTTTAATGGATGTGTTACATTAACGAAAAATAAAAATAAAAGATCATATCCGCGGGAATGATGTTTTAATATCCAATTTACTATAAATAATTATGTACGTGTATCTTCCTTCTGGAGTAGGGCCTGCCATGGGACAGGGTAATTTCATCCCTCGAGTTAATAGGTGCCGAAGTGTAGTATGCTTTGCACATTTCCATTTGTTCCAACCACTTGAGGTGGTCTATAAAGGATGTGGTAATGAGGAGTTTGGCGTTGTCGAAGTTTACCGAAATCTCTGGGTCAGACGCATATATTGATAACGATGTAGAACCTCTGTTGTGGAGGATGTCCCGTTGGTGTTCAGCCCATCAGACACCAATAGCACGTTTAGTGGAGCCAATGTAGACCAGTTCCCTTTCAAATCTATGGTCTGTTAGGGGGATAGCGTATACCCCTGGTAGTTTATCCTCGTTAGGTTTATCTTTTTCATTGCGCAGAAGCTTAAACATAGACGGGCACCTTCTGAAAGACAATCGTAAGCCTTGTTTTTTAGCGATTTTCTGATACAAGGATGTTAGGAACGGGTTGTATGTGACTGGAACAATGCGATGGTCTTGCTCCTCATTATCCCCATTCTGTGGAGAAGTAGGTGGGAGGCCAAAGCTGAATTGTTGTGCTAATTTATGGACCATGGATTTGAATCCATGTTGTAGGGCGATGTTATGTAGATAGTTCAATTCTTGGATTAAAGCCTCCTATGTAGAGCAATGCGTGTGGGCCCTCTTAACTAGTGCTCTAAACGCCGCAATTTTACATCTGAACGGATCACATGAGTTCGCTGGGATATACGTTGGGAAGTGACAAGTTTTGCGGTAGACAGAAGTGTATATGGTGTCTGCTCCAAATGCGATGTCCAAGTCAAGGAAATGTACGGCGGAGTCACTATGCTGCTCAAGCTCTATGGCAAGGCCATAAGGATTGTCGTTCATCTGATTCGTAAAGAGGGTGATGTCGGGTTTGTGCCTCCATAAAATAATAATATCGTCTATGTATCGCTTGTACGATATGATGTCGTGGTTGAAATTCGGAATTATTTTACTTTCAAGCTGTCTGATAACCAGTTTGACAGCTTGAAAATAAAATAATTCCGAATTTCAACCACGACATCATATCGTACAAGCGATACATAGACGATATTATTATTTTATGGAGGCACAAACCCGACATCACCCTCTTTACGAATCAGATGAACGACAATCCTTATGGCCTTGCCATAGAGCTTGAGCAGCATAGTGACTCCGCCGTACATTTCCTTGACTTGGACATCGCATTTGGAGCAGACACCATATACACTTCTGTCTACCGCAAAACTTGTCACTTCCCAACGTATATCCCAGCGAACTCATGTGATCCGTTCAGATGTAAAATTGCGGCGTTTAGAGCACTAGTTAAGAGGGCCCACACGCATTGCTCTACATAGGAGGCTTTAATCCAAGAATTGAACTATCTACATAACATCGCCCTACAACATGGATTCAAATCCATGGTCCATAAATTAGCACAACAATTCAGCTTTGGCCTCCCACCTACTTCTCCACAGAATGGGGATAATGAGGAGCAAGACCATCGCATTGTTCCAGTCACATACAACCCGTTCCTAACATCCTTGTATCAGAAAATCGCTAAAAAACAAGGCTTACGATTGTCTTTCAGAAGGTGCCCGTCTATGTTTAAGCTTCTGCGCAATGAAAAAGATAAACCTAACGAGGATAAACTACCAGGGGTATACGCTATCCCCCTAACAGACCATAGATTTGAAAGGGAACTGGTCTACATTGGCTCCACTAAACGTGCTATTGGTGTCTGATGGGCTGAACACCAACGGGACATCCTCCACAACAGAGGTTCTACATCGTTATCAATATATGCGTCTGACCCAGAGATTTCGGTAAACTTCGACAACGCCAAACTCCTCATTACCACATCCTTTATAGACCACCTCAAGTGGTTGGAACAAATGGAAATGTGCAAAGCATACTACACTTCGGCACCTATTAACTCGAGGGATGAAATTACCCTGTCCCATGGCAGGCCCTACTCCAGAAGGAAGATACACGTACATAATTATTTATAGTAAATTGGATATTAAAACATCATTCCCGCGGATATGATCTTTTATTTTTATTTTTCGTTAATGTAACACATCCATTAAAACCATTTTAAGAATACCAGGCATTACGTAACGAATGTTGTTTACGGAATACTGGAATGCACGTGATTCACGTTAGTTTGACTTTTGAAATGTTGTTCTGAAGGATTTATATTTTTTCGAACGTCGCATTCAAAAGAAGTTCGTTCTACTGGTCTTTTTAACAAATTTTAAAGAAGAATCTGTGCTTGAGAAAGGACCCAGGGAAGGATCCGAAAACGTTTGCATCTAATCTTAATCAAATTTAATACCGGTTAAAGGTTTGATGAGGTATTATTTTTATATTAATCCGGTGTTTGAAGATTTTTATTTATACTATTATTACTAGGAAATTGTGCAACTTTGTTGTATCATAATATTAGGGGCAGTCAAATGAAAACGAGACAGACTATATAACAAGTGTGGCATGGAAGTTGGTAATGCAGGTAGGTGTGTATATAGAAGTGTCCTCTATTGGGAATCAGGAAGGAACAGCGTTGAACGTTCACCGCTGTGTCATTTGTCTGTTAGACATGCTCGAAGTGAGGTTGGTGAATCGTGTGCACGTCCAACATAACTATGGAGGTCCGCTGCTTGTTGACTTTCTGGACACGGCGCCACAATTAATGCACAGAGGTACATAGAAACTTCGCAAAAATTGAAGCGTGCCATCAAATCCAAACACCCAGGAATGTTGACAGACAGCATCATTCTGTTGCAGGATAATGCCCACCCACATGTTACCAAGGTTGTTTTGACTATACTACAGAAGTTTTGCTGGGAACTTCTGCAGCATAGTCCATACACATCCTCTATACAGTCCTGATTTCTCCCCATGCGATTTCCATATTTTTGGAGCCCTGAAGAAAGACATTCATGGCCGTCAATTTGCTTTGGACGAAAAGGTGCGCGCCTGGGTACAATCGTGGTTCTATAGCAACCGCAAACATTTTTTTATGAAGGCATTGACCGTCTTGTCTCACAGTGGGATAAATGTATCAACAGTTATGGCAATTACTTTTGAAATAATAAACAGTTTACTTACTTTTTTCCATCTGTCTCGTTTTCATTTGACTGCCCCTAATAGAATTGAGGCAGAGCTGGAAAAAAAGAAGCAATACCTGCACCTGTTAGGCATAGAAGAGGTGATCCTTGTACCTGCCGGTCGTGGGAGAGGTATTCCTTGTATCTTCTGGCCATGAGATTCACAATTTTTGCACTGATCAGTTACAGAGAGACGATCCTTGTACTTGTTGATACGGAGAAGCAATCCAAGAACAAAGCAATTGTCAGCAATTGTCATTGCATTATTCTTGTATTTTGTTCATTTTTTGTGCCTATTTTTCACTAGGTGCATGCAATGCTGATTTTATTTTTAACCTGTAGATCTAAATTTTGTTAGGCATGTTCAGTCACATTGGACAGAGAGCATGGACATTGTCACTTTAATACCTCTGTACATTGAAAACAAAGATGGACTTGTATTTTTTACATTTAAATGGACCCTCATCACAATTAATGGAAAGCAATATCTTGCCCATGTTTCAAAACGAAATAATAGTATACTCAAGATATGTAGATGATATTTTCATTCTATGGAGAAATGATAACAACGTGCAATGTTTTTTAAACACAGTCAACAATAACCCATATGGTTTAACTTTGGGTCTAGAGCAAGAGAGTAGTAGTAATATTAACTTCCTCGATTT